ACTATGTAATTAGTGCTATTATCTGCTCTCTATTTATGGTTTGGTTAGGTTTAGGTTACTTTAAGTTACTTTAGGTTAGGTTAGGTTTAGGTTACTTTAGGTTACTTTAGGTTAGGTTAGGTTTAGGTTACTTTAAGTGGTTTAGGTTTAGGTTACTTTAAGTTACTTTAGGTTAGGTTAGGTTTAGGTTACTTTAGGTTACTTTAGGTTAGGTTTAGGTTACTTTAGGTTAGGTTAGGTTTCGTTACGTTTGGTTATGTTAATACGGTGTAATATTGCCCAAAATGTGAAATATGGAATTAAAAAAGTGTTTAAGTGTACTCTTGAATTTAGTTTACGGAAAACCAAATTCTTCACACTTCCAAAGAAAACATTTTCAGCATGCAACTTTTATATTTTAAACCAATGATTTATAATACAATATAGTTATAACTTGAGAATAATCTCTGCTTAGGACAAAGGTTCACTTGCCAGTTTACAAATAAACTGTCTAAATTAGACTATGGCTGACCCACCTATTCTCTTTTCTATTACTCTACACTGTCGGCTTGATGCTTTGCTACATGCCAAGTCACGCCTCGGCTCTGATGCCTTCTGTTCATCCCTTATCCAGAGCTTGCATGTTGAAACTGGCATTCCATCGTTATAGAACTGTTGCGATGGTTATTGCTTCCAATACTTCGAGCGGTCCCAACAACAGCCCCATTCCAGCTTATGACGTGTTTTGACTCCTGGTGGTCCCTGTATCAGCTCCCTTTCCCTTTCTTTTACCAGAAGGATGCCCCCCCCTGTGCAATGTTATCTTTCAGTACACGTCTGCATTATCTTCCCTTCATGTTGTTCCTACAATGCCCCAATGGAGGTTATCTTGAGATGATTTCGGGGCTTAGTGTCCCCGCAGCCCGGTCCTCCTCCAGGCCTCCTCTTTTTACGGGCTGCTCCAGGAAGCAGCCCGTAAAAGCTGTCTAACTCCCAGGTACCTATTTACTGCTAGGTGAAGAGGGGCATCAGGGTGAAAGAAACTTTTTGTCTATTTGTATCCGCCTCCAATGGAGTGTCCCACTTGTGAAATTCTGCTGGGTACCAGCCATTCTGATGTTACGCCAAATAAACTTATAGACATTTCTGCTAAGGAGGCCATTCATGCCTGTCCCATTTCCCGTTAAGGGATATCTTATTCGGATTTCTACCTGTCATTCGCTCCGCACTCGTTGGCAAGGTTGATGGTCTGGAATTACAGGTAGATTGATTTATTGGGTGATGAAGATTAAGCCACGCAAGAGGAGGCACGGGCATGAGTAGCCCGTAACATTATAGGTAACAAACTACCCACCCTTAAAGGTGTCCCATCCCCCCTTGGCCTTCCTCCTACCACCATAATAGACTAATGGAGGGCCACGTCTGTGGTAGATAATAATAATAAAACAAACATAAAAGATGGTGGGAAACGGCTCTGACTTCAGAAAGCATCGGCCACATATGCTTAAATCGTGGACATTTAATATAATGATGCACTGCGCCTTATTGTCCAAACTGCATTGTCGTGTTGTGCACGACTGCGCTTACCAGTCGTGCAACTTGTTGTTGAATGTCCGGTTTTTTAGGATGCTCAAAAGTCTTGCTTGCAAAATGTCCTTATAAGTCACTTGTCCCTAGATGGACGCCTTGGTGAATCCGAAACCTTTGATGTCGCTCGCTCTCTGTCCTTACCCTCTCGTATTGGCATCCTGAACTACGGGTTCATGGACAGTGCTACATAGAAATTTTGTTCCGAGTAGCTGAATCTAAAACAACAACAACAGCATCCTGAATGACACTTTGCGCCTTTTTTTTTTAATATCCTGGGACACTGACGGCACCCCATAGTCTTCCCGGCCTGGTGCCTTGTTTTGCCTATTACGTATCACTCATAAATCCCGTTTGTGTCAGCTATCACTCATAAATCACGTATGTCAGCTATTGGTTGTAAATCTCATGTGTATAATTTTTCATTCGTAAATCCCGTGTGTGTCAACTATCGCTCGTAAATCCCGTATTTACTATTTGTGTCTGCAGAATCGAGCTATTAGCTTTTGGACCCCGCCTTTCTACCCAACGTATTTTCCTCTATTATGTCTACTATATATATTTCTAACACAAGCACCCCCCCCCAGGAAGCAGCCTATAGCAACTGTCTAACTCCCAGGTACCTATTTACTGCTAGGTGAACAGGCGCAACAGGCTGAAAGAAACTCTGCCCATTTGTTTCTGCCTCGGCCGGGAATCGAACCCGGGGCCTTAGGACTACGACCCCCCGAGCGCTATCCACTCAGCCGCGAGTCCCCTAAATACATAACATGTAACATAATGACTGTGTAGCTTTATAACAAATCTCCCATACACTTGGACTGGACGGTAGAGCGACGGTCTCGCATCATGCAGATCGCCGTTCAATCCCCCGACCGTCCCCACAAGTGGCTGGGCACCATTCCTTCCCCCCCGTCCCATCCCAAATCCCTATCCTGACCCTTTGCCAGTGCTATATAGTCGTAATGGCTTGGCGCTTCCTCCTGATAGTTCCCCTTCTCTGTATAACAAATCCTCATAATATATGCCATTATATAGATAACAGCTGTAACATATACAATGTATATTTTTGTATCAGTAAAATGATTATTACCATTATAACGAGACGAAATTAGAGGGTGAAGAGGGGCAGGAGAGGGAGGGAGGGAGATGTGAGGGAGGGGGAAGGAGAGGGAGGGGGGAAGGAGAGGGAGGGGGAAGATGAGAGGGAGGGGGAAGATGAGAGGGAGGGGGAAGATGAGAGGGAGGGGGCAAGATGAGGGAGGGGTGAAGGAGAGGGAGGGAGGAAGATGAGAGGGAGGGGGAAGATGAGAGGGAGGGGGAAGGAGAGGGAGGGGGCAGGAGAGGGAGGGGGGAAGGAGAGGGAGGAAAGGGAGTGAGAGGGAGGGGGAAGATGAGAGGGAGGGGGGAAGGAGAGGGAGGGGGAAGATGAGAGGGAGGGAGGGGGAAGGAGAGGGAGGGGGAAGGAGAGGGAGGGGGAAGGAGAGGGAGGGGGAAGGAGAGGGAGGGGGAAGGAGAGGGAGGGGGCAGGAGAGGGAGGGGGCAGGAGAGGGAGGGAGGGAGTGTGAGGGAGGGGGAAGGAGAGGGAGGGGGAAGTAGAGGGAAGGGGAAGGAGAGGGAGGGGGAAGGAGAGGGAGGGGGAAGGAGAGGGAGGGGGAAGATGAGAGGGAGGGAATAAGTGTGGAGATAGGGAAGGGGAATGTGATGAGCGCCATAATTGCCATCTTTGTTTCGCCGTGTTCGCTCCCATAATAAACTCCAGACTCTTGCATGTTTTTTTTTTTTTTTAATCCATTTTTGTTTAAGATTTATGTCGGAGGAAGACGTCTTCCACCAGACGGACCTTGGGAGGATCTAAACGACGTCTTTAACTCACGTCTGAGATTTGAAATGAGATATTTTTCGGTGGGTGTTGAGGCGGGTGGTGGGAGGGTGTAGTGGGAGGAGTGATTTATGGGGAGGATGCATTCAAGGTCAGGTGCGGGGTTGCCTGGGGGGAGGGGTTTGGGGGTATGGTTGCTGGGGGTCTGGGTCAGAGTTGTTGTGGGTATGAGGCATGGTTACAGGAGTTGGCATGGTTGCTGGGGTATATGTGGGGGGGCATGGTTACTGTGGGTGTGGGGGAGCAGGGTTGCTGTGAGGTGTTGGGGGGGGGGGGGGAGAGGGTGCAAGAGAGACATTGCAACAATAATTATAATATCATCTCCTCACAAAATGCCTCTGACTCTCTCCCTGCCCTAAATCTCACGTCTCTGAGGCATCAAGGACATCAACATGAAAACTCGGCTCTGTTTTCTCTCTTTAATTATATTTACTTGTATTTTGGGCCACAGGTGGGGGGAGCGTTGACCCGTGTGGGAGGCTGATGGTTGACCTGTGTGGGAGACTGATGGTTGACCCGTGTGGGAGGCTGATGGTTGACCTGTGTGGGAGACTGATGGTTGACCCGTGTGGGAGGCTGATGGTTGACCCGTGTGGGAGACTGATGGTTGACCCGTGTGGGAGGCTGATGGTTGACCCGTGTGGGAGACTGATGGTTGACCCGTGTGGGAGGTGTTGGGAAGAATCGTAATGTTCTTAACTACATGTTTATATCTTATGACTCAGTATTGATGATTTTTGACGTGAAAAATCACATTGGGATGAACCGCATTTACAAACAACCATTAATCGAACACAATTCGTTTTAAGTACCACCAAATCTTGAGAGTATTAGATGAAGAAATATAAATTTATACATCATGATATAACCTAATGATCGTTGGAGCCGTGCTGAGGGTTCGAACCTATACGGTGGGTGTTCGAACCCAGGCACACGCCCTAGACAACTAGCGCCACCACATGGTCAAAGGATTGTAACCTGGGGTACTACTGCAGCCTCTAGGACTCCTGAGGCTTACACTGAAGCAAGACCAGAGTTTCACACACTCCCCCCTTCCCATGCTTTTACCGTGTCGTGGTCTAGTGGTACGGTACAGAGCGTGTGCTTCGGAACACTAGCGCAAAGGTTCGAATCCTCATCGCGGCTCCTACTGATTTGCTCATTGATGCATCACGTTAGTGTGACTACTGTGTGTATGGATTACCTTGCGAGGATGGACTACCGTGGGACAGAGCGTGACAGTGAGACAGTGAACGGTTCCATATAAAGACACGGGTAGAGAGGGACACACACTAGTACACAGTTCCGGGAATTTCAATTAAATGAGAACGTTTTCGGCTGGCAACCGATTGGCTGCGGGTTCAATTCCCGGGCAGAACGAGTAAGGAGTCGTTCCCTACACCTGTTTCCCTTTCTTCACTTAGACAAAAATTAGGTACCTGGGAGTTATAGTTAACTATTGTGGACTGCACAATGTTTTTGACTCATAATGTATATTTATATGACTTGAGTACAACTCAATATGTATATGTATTATTTTTGTTCGCTGCAGGATGAGGCTCTTGGTGACGGTAGCGACGGCGACGCTGATGGCGGTGTGTCTGGCGGGGCCACACCCACTCCTCCAGCTGGTAAGTGAACACCCACGTGAACACCCACGTGAACACCCTCGCTCACCCCCCCCCCAAGTGTTCAGAACCATGTCCCCCCCCCATTGCAGCATCACTGGCTGATCAGAGATGTTGCTCTTGTGTTCATTCCCTTTCAGGTCATGACTCGGTTCCTGCTCACAGAGTTTGTACCTGGAGTGCTCAGGATTGGGAGAGCCGTCACCTGTAGCCACCTGCCACAGGTAACGGTAACCCAACCTGATCCTGGCAACCACTGTGTCCCACAGTCTGGTCCACGTCTTGTGCTGCCCATAGATATAGGCGTCAGTTCTCAACAAATCATATTTTTATACTGGTGCTTTCCGGTCTATGGTTGTGTGTGATTTCTCTCCTGTCAGACCTGTGTGTTGGAGCAATATAATCCGAGAATAGGGAATGGAGTATCTAGCTTTAGTTCAATTTAATCTTTGTTAAATGCTGATTTAGCTGTTTTGTCTGTGTCAACAGGACGAGTTATGTTTGTATGAAATGGCATCTATGCAACGGTGATCATGACTCACTTAGTTCTGTGCAACGATCAGGTTATTTGTAACTGAAGTTCCTATGTGTATCTTGCAGGCGAAGTTTTCAAGTGCTAGGAGAGTAGATCTTGACTCACATAAAGTTACCCCTCTAGTGCAGATCTGTTGCGTCGGGTTCAGCCAGAGTTTTAGCCTACCACTAATAGTCTGTGTGCAAGTATTGCTCCTGGAGTACTCATAGGCTACCTTGTGAGCGTCCTGTTAATAGTGGCCGACGTCCGCTATTAACACGTCGCTGAAGTGCGTCCTGTTAATAGCGGACATCAGCCGTCGGTGTTAGTGTAGTGGTCGTGAGGGTGTGAGAGAGGCGGCAACGTGTTCGAGTGTGACCGCTTTGAGAGGAGCAAGATTGTCATTGTCCTTGTATGATGGAGTGTAGGCTTCTCAGGCGGTGGTGGAAGCACTTCCACGTGTCTGCGGCAGGTAACTGCATGTATGTTTTCTTCGATGTGTTGGAAAAGGTTTCACTCAACCAATTAGCATACAAGAGTGTTCATGTGTGTTAGAAACATTTGTTGTCCCATTGAGAACACACAATAGTTGAGCAGTGCTGGAGATGTCGGGTCTCTCATGCCTGTAACGAAAAAGGTCGTGTTGACTTGTATAATGTTGTCTAGTATGGTGGGAAGCTTCAGTACTTCCCTCATGTTAATGCTCCCTATGCTCCCTGGGGCTCCGAGAAGCTCTCCTCAAGGCTTCATTCAGTATCACATCTAGTCTGTTATAAGCAGTTGCGGGGAAGTTGATTTTTTGTATTAATACATTAGGTACATGTGCATTTGTGCAGCACAGGATGGTTAGTCATACAGAGGCACGTGATAAGCAGTCTGCACTGGCAGACTCCGGGTGCATTATAAGGATATCATCAACACAAGAGTGAATAAGGCAGCAGTGGTAATAAAAGCCCCCATCTCGCAGGATGGTTAGTCATACAGGGCCATATGTTCAGTAGCCTGCACTGGCAAATTTTGGGTACAATATGAGGATATCTTCAAGAACACGAGAGTGAATAAAGTAATTGCAAAGCTCCAGGTACCTCATGCCAACTGGTCTGAAAGGTCTAATAACTGGGCATTCGGTGATGTAGTGTGGGAGATCATGCCGTAGTTCCTGCTCACAGAGTTTGCACCTGGAGTGCTCAGGATTGGGAGATCCGTCACCTGCAGCCACCTGCCACAGGTAACGGTAACCTAACCTGATCCTGGCAACCACTGTGTCGCACAGTCTGGTCGACGTTTTGTACTGCCCATAAATATAGGTTTCAGATAAGAGAGAAATTACCGACTCCCGAAGACCTGAAAGCACCAGTATAAAAAGCTATGATTTGTTCAGGGGAAGTTTATTACGTGCAGCGCAAGTGAGAAACTCTCCGGGATATGCTTCGATATTTTCAGCATTAAATGACCTGACATTGTTTACGGAGGCGAGATGTTCTTGGTCTCGCAATGTCTTCATAACTTGCCATGTAACTCATGTACCTTATGTACTTTATGTACCCCATAAATCTGAGGTACAGAGCAGACTGTGAACAAGTGAAGACAAACTCCAAGTTTAGAGCATTGACTACAGTTGATGTTTGCTATTGAGACACAACATGTCGAACGACTAGCAAACCCCGCTAAACAAGTTTGTCACGAAGCAACAACAAATGAAGAACTGGTTGTTAATCAATCGACTTGAGAATGGTCCAGGACGGACCGAAACGTCGTCGTCCCTTCACCTTATTGTGTATGGTCTGGTCAACATACTTTAGCCACGTTATTGTGACTCATCGTCTGCAACTGGCTGTTAAACACAAAGGAAACATTGAGTTGTGTGCCATTAGTTACACGCAGCAATGAACCCGGCTTCGATACGTCTACGTTTGGTTAGAAAGCACTGCCGCATAAATAATACAACTGCATCGCAGTTAACGTAACGACCAGCCAGCTGCTTGTCTCTATGCTTGACAAGAGCATTGTTCATATTGTTCGTTCTAAGGTCATACGGTGAGTCTAACACTAGTACACACACACACACACACACACACACACACACACACACACACACACACACACACACACACACACACACACACACACACACACACACACACACACCACACACACACACACACAGAATGCACAGAATGCCAGAATGAATATGTCAGGATGAGAAGAGAGGCAGAAAGACAATACGAAAATAACATCGCAAGCAAGGCAAAGACTCAGACTAAATTGCTGCATAGCCACATCAGGAGAAAAACAACAGTAAAGGAACAGGTTATGAAATTAAGGATAGGGGCGGAAGGATTCACTACAAATGACAAGGAAGTGTGTGAGGAATTGAATAAGAAATTCCAGGAGGTCTTCACCTTAGAGCAAGGAGAAATTCCAGAGGTAAGTGTGGGAATAGCTAACCAGGAACCACTGGAAGAACACAGCATCAACATGGTTTCAGGGATGGCAGGTCCTGCCTCACAGGGTTACTTGAATTCTACGACCAGGCAACAAAAATAAGGCAAGAAAGAGAAGGGTGGGCAGACTGCATATTTTTGGACTGTCAGAAAGCCTTTGATACAGTGCCACACAAGAGGCTAGTGCGAAAGTTGGAGACGCAGGCTGGAGTGAAAGGGAAGGTACTCCGGTGGATAGAGGAGTACCTAAGCAACAGGAGACAACGAGTCTGTGTGAGGGGTGAGGTCTCAGATTGGCGAGACGTTACAAGTGGAGTCCCGCAGGGGTCAGTCCTTGGACCTATACTGTTTCTGGTATATGTAAATGATCTCCCAGAGGGTATAGATTCGTTCCTCTCAATGTTTGCCGACGATGCAAAAATTATGAGGAGGATTGAAACAGAGGATGATAGTAGGAGGCTACAAGATGACCTGGATAGACTGAGTGAATGGTCCAACAAATGGCTGTTGAAGTTCAACCCGAGTAAATGCAAAGTAATGAAACTAGGCAGTGGAAACAGGAGGCCAGACACAGGATACAGAATAGGAGATGAAGTACTTAATGAAACAGACAGAGAGAAAGATCTAGGAGTTGATATCACACCAAACCTGTCTCCTGAAGCCCACATAAAGAGAATAACGTCTGCGGCATATGCGAGGCTGGCTAACATCAGAACGGCGTTCAGGAACCTGTGTAAGGAATCATTCAGAATCTTGTACACAACATATGTAAGACCAATCCTGGAGTATGCGGCCCCAGCATGGAGCCCGTACCTTGTCAAGCACAAGACGAAGCTGGAAAAAGTCCAAAGGTATGCTACTAGACTAGTCCCAGAACTAAGAGGCATGAGTTATGAGGAAAGGCTGCGGGAAATGCACCTTACGACACTGGAAGACAGAAGAGTAAGGGGGGACATGATCACAACCTACAAAATCCTCAGGGGAATCGACCGGGTAAACAAGGATGAACTATTCAACACTGGAGGGACGCGAACAAGGGGACACAGGTGGAAGCTGAGTACCCAAATGAGCCACAGAGACATTAGAAAGAACTTTTTCAGTGTCAGAGTAGTTAGTAAATGGAATGCACTAGGAAGTGATGTGGTGGAGGCTGACTCCATACACAGTTTCAAATGTAGATATGATAGAGCCCAGTAGGCTCAGGAATCTGTACACCAGTTGATTGACGGTTGAGAGGCGGGACCAAAGAGCCAGAGCTCAACCCCCGCAAGCACAATTAGGTGAGTACAATTAGGTGAGTACACACACACACACACACACACACACACACACACACACACACACACACACGGCTTTAAGGAAGAACAAGTGAATTATAGAGGATATTTTGCTTTAGGAAAAGTTCAGAAATAGTATTACATTCTTTCCTCAACACGGCCTGAGATCACGGTCTCAAGGGTCAGTAAGAACAGTCTCAAGGATTCACTAAGAACAGTCTCAAGGGTCACTAAGAACAGTCTCAAGGGTTCACTAGGAACACAGTCTCAAGGCTCACTAAGAACACAGTCTCAAGGGTTCACTAGGATCACAGTCTCAAGGCTCACTAAGAACACAGTCTCAAGGGTCACTAAGAACACGGTCTCAAGGGTCACTAAGAACACGGTCTCAAGGCTCACTAAGAACAGTCTCAAGGCTCGCTAAGAACAGTCTAAAGGGTCACTAAGAACACTCTAAAGGGTCACTAAGAACAGTCTCAAGGCTCACAAAGAACAGTCTCAAGGCTCACTAAGAACACAGTCTCAAGGCTCACTAAGAACACAGTCTCAAGGGTCACTAAGAACACAGTCTCAAGGGTCACTAAGAATAGTCTCAAGGCTCACTAAGAACAGTCTCAAGGCTCACAAAGAACAGTCTCAAGGCTTATTAAGAACACAGTCTCAAGGCTCACTAAGAACACAGTCTCAAGGCTCACTAAGAACACAGTCTCAAGGGTCACTAAGAACACAGTCTCAAGGGTTCACTAAGAACACAGTCTCAAGGCTCAC